CATAGAGCGAGGGAGCATAGAGCGAGGGAGCATAGAGCGAGGGACCATAGAGCGAGGGACCATAGAGCGAGGGAGCATAGAGCGAGGGAGCATAGAGCGAGGGAGCATAGAGCGAGGGACCATAGAGCGAGGGAGCATAGAGCGAGGGAGCATAGAGCGAGGGAGCATAGAGCGAGGGAGCATAGAGCCGGCTCCTTGGCCAATCAGTAAGCCGGGCCCAGTGGAATGACTCGCTGCCCGGCTTCCTGATACCGGAAGTATCATGCAAGGCATGGGAGTATTTTGGCGAGTACTCGCCCCAAATACTCGGCACTGATACAGATACTAGTATCAGTATCGGTGCATCCCTAGTTAATACCTTCCTCCGCTCCCTCATTTGACAGTGTATGGGACTTGGGATTGGCCAGTCAGACACAAAAAAAGGGGAGCATCCTCCTCCAGTACTGGAAGTTTTGGATAGAGTAATATATAGTTATTTCCTTTTTTTTATACTGCTGTTCAGATGAATTACACGGCGCCCAGCTTCCTGATTGGCAGGAAAGCCGACTCCATGCTTTCTCGTCACCTAGTGACAAGAAGCATGGAGACGGCTTCCCTGCTAATCAGGAAGCCGGGTGTCGAGTCTTTACACGCCGCCTGCGTTCCTTTAGCCCTCGTTCACACCTGAACGTTTTGTAGCGCGTTCTACGCTCGACGAACACTCTACAAAACGCTCAAAAATATAAATCCCATTGTATTCAATGGTCTAGTTCCCACCTTGGCGTATTTCCGTCCGTCCCTAACGCGCTACAAACCGGCCCCCGCCTGAAAAGGTACATGTGCTACTTTGGGCCGTTTTGTTGTGCGTTTCCATTGGGATACAGCCAAGTAGCCTTCGGAAACGCGCGTTTGCCGAGCGACTTTGTTTTACCGCGAACCGCGGTAAAAAAACGCGCGACAGACGCGCATATGCAATACACCTAGGTGTGAACGAGACCTAAAAGGGACTTCCGGTATCGGCGAGTACCAAAAAAAAAATATCGGTACTCGATACCGGAAAACCGATATCGGTGCATCCCTAATATTAACCCTGCGAGCTTACACAGGGGTTCATGTAACATCACCAATCAGCCTTACTCAGACATTCCCCTCATAACACAGGACTATGAAAGACCACGGGACATGTTTTTTTTCTAACAGAAGACTATTGGATAGATGACCTCATCCTTGCTGCAGAACATCCCCCTTGTTGGTTCTAACTTTGAGCAGGCGATAAGAAAAGGATATTTGTGTTATCTCCAAAACAGAAACAGATAGGATTCCACTACCGAGTTGGCTGAATTCAGCACCATATGTTGAGGAGATCGGTTTCCCTTCAATACAAAGCTGTGGCTATAATAACCGGCAGAACAAAGAGAACCAAACGGGGAGGGGAACTTTTCAGGGGGGCGGGGTGCACAGCTCCAGTCCTTAAAGGAGAACTATGGGGTCAGGGCTTTTCCCCATAGTTCTCCTAAGGGTAACGGGAAGACACAAACTAGCGTCCTCCCGTCACCCAAAGCTCAGTATATAGGGAGCTGTAGCTCGCGGTATACTGAGACGCTGAAGCGGATCCCGACAATTGTGCCGGGATCCGCCCAGCTGCGTGACTGACAGCTGGCTCTGCCTATCTAGAGGCAGAGGCAGCTGTACCCGCCCCCTCCCCCGTCCGTTCCGCCAGTCAGCGCTGGAGGATCGGAGCGGGGAGGGGGGAATCCAGTCCCTCCCCTGTCGCGGCTCTCTGCCGTGACAGGATCGTGAAGTGAGCGAACGCCGGTATGTGTTCGCTCACCTCCCGATCTACTGAGCCGACCTGTGACAGTCTCATTGTCACAGGACGGCTAGAACTATGGGGATGAGTTAAAAGCACCCCCCTCCCCCACTCATAGTTCTCCTTTAAGGGTCAAGATCACCACATGGGTTCGAGTTTTTCTGACTTATGAATATGAATCAAGCCGTTTGCACTAACGGTTCAAGAATATGATGTCACACGTAGCTCCTTACCTGCGGAGATCTCGGATCTGTAGGGAACATTGTGCCGTGCCGAGAACCACAAATTCCTGGGTGATACAAAGTGCCGACACCTGCTCATCCAGAGAGACCGATGACAAGTTCTTCCCGTTCACCGAGTACAAGTGCAGAGCGAACTTCTCCTACAACGATAACAGAAAATCTTCCTTACACGTAATTACTAAATGTTTAGCAGCTCCCCATCCCCCGGTGACAGATTGGGTCTTCTCCTGAGCTCAGTCCGGTATGGAGGGACTTGCTAGGGTGTTGGAAAGTAACTGCTGTCTGCATCGAGCCTTGGCGTTAAATCAGAGCACCAATCAGTTGTACCAGCCAGTGCTTCATAAACATAAATACTTTGCTTTGGATGACTGTTCACGTTTAGGTACATGGAGTGGAGGGGGGATGCAGATACCTCCAACACGGCATCACCAAGGCAAAAATAACAGCGATCATAGAAGGTCTTCTAACCTGTCCAATCATGGGAGGTCATAGACATTGGATTATCACTCAATCCACCTGGAAATGATTGTGAGTCAATCTAATCCATCCAGCCCACCAAGTTCCACGTAGAACATTTGGCCTTTATGGACACCTGACCATCACACCTACCTAAAGCCTTGGTTCTCAACTGGTGGGTCGCGAGCCTGTGTTCAGTGGGTTACCGTGAGCCCCCCCCCCCCCCCCAACGCAGCACTGTCATTTCGTCTCATGCCAAGCAGTCATTCAAAAGATGCTTCCCGGTGCAGCATGTTGGCTTGAGGTGGGATGGGGCCATGGCCGCAAGGGAGCGCCATCCATACAGGCATTGCTTATGGTACCACAATGCCGTGCGTTCCATTGCAGTGCGACTCAGGTCACGACTTAATGACCAAGGACAAATGTGGGTCCTGAGGTTACACAGGTTGAGAACCACTGGCCTAAAGAATACGGAACCCCCTCCAAATGATCGAGTTCAGCATTTCCAGTGAAGGGTTCTGTTAATACCACAGAATACAAAGACATTGTGCTCTTCCAGTCTTGCGGTAACAAATTGGTGAAGACCCTTTTCTGTTCCACCATGACTGTCCCATGTGTACAAAGCCAGCTCCATAAAGACATGGTGTGACCAGTTTGGACAATGTGGAGAATAGGGATGCACCCATACGGATACTGGTATTGGTGCCGATATCGAGTATTTGGTCGAGTAGTCGTTCAAACGGTCCGATACCTTTCCCGATACCGGAACTTCCAGTCAGAGGAAGATTTCTGGCCAGCAGTGCCGTAGGGAAACATGGAGCCAGCTTCCCGTGCGATCAGGAAGCTGAGCGGCGAGTAATAACCCTCCCGCGGAGAACCCAACTTCCTGGCCAATTAGCATTGAGCCAGCCGAAGAGCCGGCTCCTTGCTGATTGGTTGGGAAGCTGGCTTTCCAGCCAATCAACATGGGGCTGGCTTACCAGTCAATCAGGAAGCCAGGAGGCGGGTCATTACTTGCCGCCCAGCTTCCCGATTGGCCGGAAAGCTGGCTCGATGCTGATTAGCTGGGAAGCCGGTTTCCCGGACAATCACAATCAAGCCGGCCAAACAGGAAGCCGGGCGGCATGTCATTGCCCTCCGCCCCAACTTCCTGATTGCCCGGGAAGCCAGTCCCATGCCAGCGGAAGCACCGGTAATCGGCGAGTACCGAAAGCAAAATATCGGTACTCGATACCAATAAACCAGCATCAGTGGAGAAAATCAAGTGGCCCGACCTCAACCCTAATAAACACGTTTGGGATAAACTGAAAATCCGATTGTGAGCCGGGTCTTATCCAGCATCAGTACTCCACCTCACAAATGGGTACATATCCCCACAGACACACTCCAAAACAGACACCGCAGACGGACACAAGATATTCCGGTTATACCGACCTTGAGGGAGCTCCGGCCTTCGATGGTGCTCTGGAACACAATCTGCCCCTCGAAACCCACAGCCATGTGGGATACGGTCAGTGGAAGGGAACTCTCACAGGGGGGCTTAATACACCTCATAAACTGCCCCCGCCGAATGGTGTATACATTGACCGTGCCGTCCTGCGAGCAGAAAAAGAGATTCATTGCAACAACTTCACATTAATAATCAAAGGAATGAGTTCTAGTCTATCTAGGTTATTCCCACCTTAGAACCAGAGACGGCCATGTCCAGCTCCGTACTGATCGCCACACAAGTGACCTCATCGCTGTGCCCATAGAGCACCTGCACCGGCTTCGGGGACAGTCCGCAGGAGAAGTGGGGGTGCTGTGCTGCACCCCTGCTGTAGAACCTCCCACACAATGCACGTGGTGTCCCGCGAGCCGGAAATGAGGTACATACCACACAAGTCCAATGCCAGGCATGTCACCACATCTAAAAACAAAAATCTGAGTCTTCAACACAGAAATGACATGCATTATACTGCAACTTTTCTCTGTGTCCTATCGGGGAAATTTCCTTTCACTTCCTGTCCTGGAGACGCAAGAGGAAGTGAGAAGAAATCCTTCCAAATTAATGGAAAACCTCCTCTTACACAGGTGTTCCCATTGGAAGATTTCCTGTTACTGAAGTGTAAAATTTTGGCTTTCCAACTGCTTTTTGTCCCTGTGACAACATATAAGCAGGGCGGGTGCATCTCTCTAGCCTAGAAACAGACAGCAATTCCAACCCTCCCCTATGCTATCCAAAAAAAACATGTTTTGGCTTGAGATGTTCTTCAATTGCTTCTTCACCTGACATGGTAACCTGCCAAAAAAAGTCATGTTCATGACACATCTCATAATGATGTAATCACATAGGGCCACCAATTACCAATGTGACGGGTGATGTGATTGATGACTTTCCCTTTGCTCAGAGACGTGACGCGTAGGCTGTTGTCCCAGTGTCCTCCGCTAAACAGTAATTTGGCATCAGGAGAGACCACCAGAGTCGTGGAGGAAAGCTCAGCTCCAAGAGCGAAGGGTCCGGGGAGGAAGCGCTGCGTCCTGGAAACAAACCGATACATTATTGATCAATGGTGAAAATACCCACAAACATGGCACACAACGATGAATACAGCACAAGTTTTCTTACTGAAGATTTAGAGAAGAAAATAAAAGACAAACAGCGTCTTTAACCAAAGGTGGAGCTATCCGAATGGTCGGTACAAAGAACAAGACATGTACCATCGCTATGTTCAGTACTCAAAAACATTTCCATGAAAATTGTTTCAAAAAGACACAATAAACCCCCCTAATGATAAAAATATTACTGTAAGAGTTTTTGGCTTTAATGGCCAAGTCAACTTTGACGATTCGTTTTATAATTCTGGTCACAGGACTGATGGAGATAAATGACCATCTCACATAGAGAATAAACAATCAAATATTACAATGCAAAACGTTTACTTTGTTTATATCCCAGATTTGGAGGGGACACACACCAAGGGAGAGCAGGGGTGAAACTCACTTGACGTTGGAGACAGTGGGGTCCTTGGTGAAGGTGAAGTAATTGGAGAAGTTCCGGTCATAAGGCAACCAGCCATGAGTCCCCAGAAGTCCGTTGGCACTAATCGTGACCTATTGGATATGGGGCAACCATTAACAACACAATAATTACACACTATGTGGCACTCTGGTCAATAGTGAAAAATACACAAGTCATATGTGTAGTATAACCAGTCCCCTCTGCCAATTCTCCCCTTTGCACATGCCAGCAATTACCGACTGTCAAAATGACAGCAGGGACTTGCTGTTTAAATACAGAATCTGTAATAGCTGCTGCTGTCAAACAAAGAACCATTTCACGGTGTTTATAAACATGGATCAGAGGGGAGATAGAGAGATACAAAGTAACGTTGTTTATAAACATTGATCAGAGGGGGAGATAGAGAGATACAAAGTAACATTGTTTATACACATTGATCAGAGGGAGATAGAGAGATACAAAGTAACATTGTTTATAAACATTGATCAGAGGGAGATAGAGAGATACAAAGTAACATTGTTTATAAACATTGATCAGAGGGAGATAGAGAGATACAAAGTAACATTGTTTATAAACATTGATCAGAGGGGAGATAGAGAGATACAAAGTAACATTGTTTATAAACATTGATCAGAGGGGAGATAGAGAGATACAAAGTAACATTGTTTCTGAACGTTGTTGAGAGTGGAGTAATTGCCAAACCAATAGGTAAATACCAGAAGTTCTCTGATCCACATGTCTGAGAGCTGAAATGATTAAACAATTCATATTAAAACCTTTTGCTCAGTAATGGGGCTGCTGTCCAACAACTCACCAGAACATCCGGGGAGCGCTGAGTCATGAAGAAATGAGCCTGATTTTTGGGGACCACTGTCAGGACAAGTGGAACCTCCTCCATCATTCCCTGCACAACAGACACATTTAATTACACATGATCACCATCCCTCAAGACCTCTACAGCAATGGAATAAATACACATTAAAATCACCTCGGCCAACAAACATTTTTACTAAATTTACTATTAATTTTACTATTAATATACTATTTTAAA